GGGCATACCCTGGGGCCAGCCCAGAACAGCCAGGAGCACCCCGACAGTGGCCACAGCCTAGCCCAACAGCCCCCCACCCCGGCTCACCCCCCTACCGCAGCAGCCCTTGCATTCTGTCACAGCCTTTCCCCAGGGAAGAACCTGTTCCACTCCCAGCCCCAGCATTTAATTGCAATCTGCAGAAATTACAGCATATGTGGCTCCCCCACTGCTACAGCTGCCCTAAGATGCCAACAGGTCTGTTGAGAGCCGCCAGGGCAGTGCAAGAGCCCCATCCTCTCCCATGGTGACAAACAGGGGGACAGTCTCCTCCCTCCTGGGTGCTGGGGCAGAGCTGGGCACCTGCTGAGTCTGGGCTTGGAGGTGCAGCTCCACATGGGCAGGTGGGGAGAAGATCCCAGGATTTCGACACTGGTTCAGAGGTAGTTGTCCTCTTCTTCCTCCTCCTCCTCCTCCTCGTCCCGTGCCAGTGCCTCAATGTCATGGGTGATGTCCGTGATCATGCGGTTGAAGGACTCGGACTCTGAGCGCAGGGACCAGCTGTCATAGCTGCGCACGGCCGAGGCTGACGTGTTGCTCATGCTGCGCTTGATGCGGCCAAAGCTGTCGGTGAGGATTCCACCCTCTCGGATCCCGATGCTCTCCAGGAAGGTCTCAAAGTACCCAATGTCTTGGTCAGGGATGAAGGGCCTCATTCCTGCCATGGGTAGTGTGAGTGTCGTGGGGACTCTACCCCGGTGGGCAGCACTGGGGTGTGATGCCAGCCCCACCGACTGCTGGCAGGGAGCTCGTTCCATCCCATTCCCAGCAAGCAACGGTGTCCTTACACCCCCTGGAGCACACCCAGCACCAGCACCTCACCCCTAAAGGATGCATGGACATCACCAGAGTGACAGTGTGACACAGGGTGGCTGCAGACACTCACCCAGGAGGAGAAACTTCCTGTGGTCCCCATAGAGGCGCAGAAGCTCTGTGCAGTATTCCTGCACTGCTGTGCCCAGACGGTACTCACGGAGCAGGAGGGCAAACTGCTGGATCTCCTGTGGTGACAGCTTGTTGCGCAGCTGTGGTGACACAGGGACAGGTCAGGGTTGGGGACATCAGCAGCACACAGCCCTGGCCCACCCCATCCTGAGCCCTGCTGGCTGTTCTCTGGTGCAGGGGGCTCAGACCTGCCTGCTGACCCCTGCGCCAGGCACTGGCATTGAGCAGGGCCCCATGCCCACCCCTGTGTCCATTCCCACATCCACACCGTCACCATGTAGTCCTGCAGCTGCTCTAGTCCTGCACCGCTCCGGGCGCTGCCGCTGCAGGCTTTTGTGGTGGGAGCGGTGGAAGGAGGGCGAGGAGGCGCCGCTGTAGTATGCTTCAAATGTCTCGTGGGAGCCATTGCTGCAGGAGGACAAGGGTCAGTGTGTCCCTGTACCCCTCGTATGCCCAACTGCCTCCCCCACTGCACAGCACCCAGTCAGGCAGGGCTGAGGCATCACTGCAGCTTGGACAGGCAACCACCCAGGGGCAGGGGCACCCAGCTCGGGACAGGGGCACCCACCTCGGGGCAGGGGCACCCACCCGGGATTAGGGACTCCCACCCTAGTCCAGGAACACCCTGAGGGAGCCACTCACAAGGAGCTGCAGCAGCTGTAGTCAGCATCGTAGCCATACGTCCCATCCGTGCGGCAGGTCACACCTGGGGAGGGAAAGCTGGGATCACACAGT